CCCCCGCCCCCTTCTGCCGCCGGCAGAGCCGGGTGCCCGGCGGGGACTTGCAGCGGCTGCAGGACGACGGCCAGATGCTGGCGCTGGTGACCGGCCGTGAGCGGGTCATGAAGCAGAGTGCCCCCCGGTCCCCTGAGGTCCTCCTCTGCCCCAGTGTGCTGGAGCCTGCACCTGGCCCTGACTGCCTGGTTGTCACTATCCTGGAGGTGCCAGAGGATGTGTCCCCGCCTGAGGGCCTGGGCGGGCTGGAGGTGGTGGGGCTCTACCACCCCACCAGCCTGGGCTCAGTGCCCTGCCACAGCCCTGGGCAGAAGTGCCACTCCTGGGGGAGGCGAGCTGCTCCCCGCTGCATCCTGGGTGTCCTTGGCCTCCTCTACTTCAGCTCCCTGCCATTCGGCATCTACCTCCTGCTCATCGAGCACCACGGCCTGGGCATCGTCCTAGTCAGCCTCGTGCCCTCCACCCTCCTCCTCTGCATTGTCTACAGCCTCTGTCAGTGTCTGTGCCGGGAAGTCTTCAGGTTCTCCCACTCCTGACCCTGCACAACTGAGCCGTGTGCCCAGGGAGGCTTTGGGCACCTTGGAGTGTTGCCCCTTGGGGTCCAGGTGTTCCCTGCTCCACAGAGTGGCAATGTGCCTGGACCAGCGTGCTCAGTGCCCGCTGCCTTTCCTTGCAGAAGAGTCCAGGCTTTGCCAAGCAGGAGCCCAGGCCAGAGGAGCTGCAGGAACTCATTGCAGCCTACGAGCACTCAGGCCAGACCCTCATCTTGTCATCCTCCTCCTGGCCCTCCTTCTCCTCTACAGCAAAGAGCTGGAGCTGGGCCAAGAGCAAAGCAGCAGCCGGGCGACAAACCCCAACTAGGGAGGGGTGAGTGCTCAGCGCCTGGGGTGAAGCAGCCTCTGCTGCAGCCCAGCACCAGCAGAAGGGCGGGCAGAGCCCAGGGCTCCTGTGGCCAGGCTGGCACCAGCACAGCTCCGTGTCCATAGTGTAAATAGTTGTGTCCGTGGCGCCCGCGCTCCTGGCGGGGCTGCTCCCATCGCATCCGGGTTTCATTCCCACATGTGTGAGTCCCGTGTTGGCCGCCGCTGTGTACCATAGAGGGGAGGAGCAGGGAAGAGGAGTTTCTTCAGTGTGTAAAGGCGTCTTTGCAGCTGTTTTGTAGTCGTTGTGGTTTTTATGCCGAGCCTCTGGGCTTTATTTAACCTCCTTGGGTTTTGTTTTGTAAGGATTAATTTAACACCGCTAACCATTTTATTACTTTTATCAAGAAGAGCAAAGTCTATTTTTGATTTCTGTTTCCTGGTTCTTAGGAACATTAAAACCAGCATACAGCTCTGCCCTGCATCTGTGCCATCCCAGGGCTCCTGCTTCCCTCTGCACTCCAGCACCACTTGTCACCCTGGGGCTGCTGGAGCTTGGCCCCAGAGGATGGGGAATCCCTCATTAATCTGATCCCCTTAGCAGCAGCCAATGTCCTTCCCATTTGGTGAGCAGCCCTGCCCTGCTCCCAAGGGCAGGGGAGCCACCTACATCCCTGTCAGCATCTCCACCAGCTTCCCCACCACAGACAGGCAACACCAGGAAGGCCAAGACAGAGTCACATTTATTAGTGTCCATGCACCTCCCTGCCCAGCTGTGGGGCCGTCCCCAACCCATGGCCGCAGCCCCAACCCCCACCTGGCCCTCAGGTACAGGGGACAAGCACCTCCAGCCCTACCCTTCTTCTGGCACTGCCAGCACCCCCGGGGAGTAACCACTGTCACTGTAGGGAGAAGCCAGCATTGCCAGCAC